ACATACATCCCAATATCCAAGCACCATATTTCGAAACTAACGATGGGTCAACATCAAAGACTCTGTTTACCAATAAAATTAGAATTTTTTGTCTCTAACACAGAGAAAATTGTTTTCCGATTCAGAAGAACACAATATTCATCGGAGCATCTCAGCAATTCTTTCGTCACTAAATTGTCTTTCTTCTTTTTCACATCAATCCTACATTCAGTTTTTCTAGAAAGAACCATTATTTTTACGTCCTTTGCAGACATATGCAGGTCTCCAGTAATGTACTAAACAGAGATTAGTATGTTCAAAATTTGTTCTACAACATATCATAGGTAGCAACAACAAATCAAGCTATCAGCTCCATTATGCATACAGATTTCACAAACCGAACAATTTCATGCCATTTACCTCACCTGATCATTATTCACTTTCGCCTATCGATTTCAAACGACATTAGAATTTAAAGTCTGGACTTTTAACATGTCCGGAGAGCAGATACGTGAATACTGCATGAGTAAGTACAATAAGTGATACATGGAAAGGAAGGAAATTGATTATATGATGACAAAAACAAGGTTATTTATTTTTATTAAATGGATACGTTCGTATATCCATGTCTATTTGAAATAGTTTAATGGGGAACCGGATACCGATATGGCCTCGAATAACGAATTTGTGAAATATTTGTTTTTTTTTTGTTTTGTTTTTTTAGAAAAATCTCTGAATTAAATTATATAACAGTGTTTGAAAAACAAACATACAAGGGAATGGAGTTTGCTACCGTGAACATGGCATAGCGGCTCCTAGCAGTGAAAGTCTTAGCTGCTGTATCTAAGGAACGCAACACGTCTGAATATCTGCCGGAGAAATAGAAATAGAGTCGTAATCTATCATCGTTTCATCTGTTGAACAAAGATTATAGGTAGGATAATAAGTCCTCGCCCACAAGACCACGTAGTTGTTTTTGATCTCTGTCAATTCTGTGACGTAAGGAATTCGTAGAAACAGCCTATATGTGGCAGCAATATTTCATTTTCAGTCTGAGTTGACTCCTGTAAAGATAGGGTATCTTCATATATCTAAAGATTATCTTAATGATTAAGGTATTTTTAATTGTCCTAGATAAATTCAGTATTACCCTAACTGGACATATCAATTATTATTTAACCAAAATGATGCAGATTATGAAAATAATTTATAGATTCACATTTGACAAATGCTAATCCATATCAATTAAATATTGTAAAACTTTATTTAAAATAATATTACTCATTTTATTACTAAATATATTAAAATACTACATGCCTTAATTTTTTGCAGATATATTCCGTCTAAATACCTTAATAAGTATGATTACAAATCCTCGGTAAATGGTCAAGTATGGCTGTAATGTTAATGATTCTTCAACTACCCTGACGAAGATGTAGCACTCTACGCCATAATGAGATTGACGTGTTAAAAGAAAAAGAGGAATAATTTAAAAGTTGAATGCTAATTAATATCACTTTCTCGTCTAATATATCTAAAATTGTTATCCTCCTACAATTGTTCATGACCATTCCTGCAACATGGCTGCTCATGAAAAGGACCTCAAATCAGTGATTAACTAGGTCAATAAATGGCTTGTAGATTTTAACGCCTCCAAAAGACAGCGTCTTTCATTTGACCAATATTGAGAAATTCTTCTGCGTGCTATCGGCATGACTGAGACTATTCACCAGGAGAACAACACACTGTGCATTTTGGCTTCAATATTTCAACTGATTTCATGTGGAACGACTATATCGAATCAACAGCTGCATCTACTACATGAAAATTTGGGTCACTGTGACAAGCCAGGAATTTCTTCTCGTCAGAGACCATCTTACAAATTTCGAAACCTACCATTCGTCCGTGCATTGAATACTGCCGCCATATCTGGTGTTTTGTTTCTTAACGAAATCTGTAATGTAATCGATTCTGGCTCGGTATCTCGATTCAGTCAATTTCTCACCGAAATGCCGTGGCTTCCCTCAGTCTTTTCTACAAATATTTTTTATGGCAACTGCTTTGACGAGCTTGTTTTCCTGTTGCCCAAACCATATGAATTTAAGTGTTCTGCTAGATTGACATCAAGTTCTAAACCCGTTTACTGTTCAAATAGCTAAATGAAAACGCTACATTTACTCCAACACTTACTTTTCTCGCACTTCACCTCTGTGGAAATGCCAGATACAAATGTATGTTCTTGAATGTCTTGTGCATTATATATATTCGAGATTAAATACAATCGTGCGAGCAACTGAAATTTTAAAAGATAGTTAGGGAAAGATTATATATATAGGGCAAGTTATTTAATGTTAATATTTTAGTAAAAATTACCTTACTTCTTTTAAAAGAAATATACTTTCTGCAATTAAATTGAACGATGTGACCTTTGTTCAAGATTCATACTAGAACAAAACCGCACGATTGCGTCTACCTAACTGCACTAAGAAGGCTTGGGTCAAACAGTGTGTGTGTGTGTGCGTGCGTGCGTGCGAGCGCGCGCGCCTGTGTATGGGTTCAAACATATATTGATCAATATAACAGACAATTATTGTCTTATATTTGATTATGAGTCATTCTAAACTTTGCAGTGGTGCTTTAATTTCGGGAGAAAATAACTGATAAAAACTGTTCAAAATTTGGATATATTTTTTATTATACTGTACCTCGATCTAAGCTTTCGACTCAAATAAGCCATCATCAGACTGGTTAGCTGGATATGTCAAGCAAGATATTCACCATCAAATATGATATCCTGTTATGTTTACATAGAAGTTTGCTATACGACGATAACGGTCGGGGAATAACAGTCGCAGGTCGTAAACTGGGATACAGTTCTATGACGTCGTACCACGCGAGACAAGGAAATATTAACAACATGACCATATGTTTAGATGCAATTTATGCATATATGTATATATATACACAAATGAAATATATATATTATATTTATCTTTATAATATATATATATATATATATATATATATATATGTATATATATATATATATATATATATATATATATATAACTGAAAATATATATTTATTTAATATATATATATATATATATATATATATATATATATATATATATATATATATATATATATATATACCTGAAATATATATTGATGAAACTTGACTAATGCATGGAATAATAATACAACAAAAATGTACTTAGAACAAAATGTATTGAAACAAGAAAATGTACACAATATTTACATATAGTCTTTTGTATATTCTTGGGAAGACCGTTCCTGAAATGTGTTGATTAGTCGCAGTCAGGCAGAGTCTCTGGATTGAATCACTTGATTCCTCCACTTCTCTTCCCGGTACCAACCATATTTATATGGTCGGTACTCCACTATGCAAATTAGGTGATCCTACCATAATATATATATATATATATATATATATATATATATATATATATATATATATATAACTGAAATATATATATTTATCTTTATATATATATATATATATTTATATATATATATATATATATATATATATATATGTATGTATGTATATCTATATACACACACCTGAAATATATATATTTATCTTAATAATATATATGTATATATATATATATATATATATATATATATATATATATATATATATGTATGTATGAGAGAGAAAGTGAGTGAGAGAGACTTACCTTCTGAAAATCTGCATGATAAATATACTGAAGAGATGATATAAATAAATATAAGAAAAGGGCTGTATGATTCGGGGCGAATCATACAGTCCTTTTCTTCTGGTGCAACCTGAAGATATTTTGTCATGTAATGGCCACATACTGCCTCAAGTCTGTCCGGGTGAATTTGAACTACTAGATACCTTGTGTTTTTACAAGTTTGTAAAACAGGAAACCGTGACAGAAACATATGTTCAAGATTGATTAGGCGAGCCTTAAATGTTGTCACTGCCAGGAAACTAGGAAAGGCATTTAGTTCAAAGCTAAAAGATCTATTCTTATATACAAAACATGTCAACAGCTTTACGGCTGCGTACGAACGAAACAAACGAGTAGCGAAATTATGACAAGTTTCTATCATAGATTTCATTAATATAGTAAATTAAACAATGTTTCCAAATAGTTGAACAAAAAGGCTTCACACTAAAACGTCTATCGACTTGAAATCCATACCCTCATATACCTTACGTCATATCTTCTGCGAAATTGTCATATACTTAATTTTTCTCATATATACATGTTTTCCATCGTTTTTCGCAGATAGATATATAGATAGATAGATGAAACCTTTCGGCCCTTCCACGCTCCTGCCTTCTTCAGGTGGTTGGAATGTCGAACTGAACCCTTTATTTCTCTCACCGGGGTAGACTGTTCTAGTTCCACGTGCCATGTTTAATAGATGTCAGTTATCAGTTATCTCCTGTTAATTTACCTCTGAAGTTTCTCCACCGCCTTAAGCGGATATTGAACTCACACTCTTTGGGCACATGGCACAGTGGATAAAGGCGTTGTTTGTATTCAGTAACAGGACCCAAAAAGTGTGAGTTCAATACACGGTTAAATCAGTGGAGAACTTTCAGAGGGAAATTAACAGGAGATAACTGATAACTGACATCCATTAAACAAAGGCCGAAACGTTGTAATAAATATGGCGACAAAGATGAGGGCAATAGTCCGAATAATGTAAATAAAGTACATGGTACCTCATCTCAGAAATATAGACACAAAAACTTGTCATAAATTTTACGCTCTAATTTAAATGCAGGGATGCTTTGTAAGTAAATAAAAGAACATATTGAAATGCCTTCTACTATTGGTATTATTTGAATTATTCGGACTGTTGCCCTCATATTTATTGCCATAGTCACAACGTTTCAGGTGATTGGAATTTCGAAGTGAACCCTTTATTACGTCCACGGGTTAGATTGTTCTAGTTCCACGTGACTTGCCTCTTCCTGGTGTCTTGCTTATCTCTCTCATCTCAGAAATATAGACAGAGATAGATAGATAAATAGATAGATAGATAGATAGATAGATAGATAGATAGATATTGATTAATCTATTGTTTGATCTGCTTTTTAAATCTTACCAAATTCTTGTGGGTTACTTGAATATGAAACATATTTTGGCTCGTAAGAATAATTCAAATATGCCGCGAATGAATATTGAATTAACAGATTGTTGAGAAAAACAAATATTTTTCTACATACAAATGCTACAACTTAATATATTGATAGACGGAATAGATGAATTTACCTTTCAAATTGTATTTTTGCGCAAGTGAATATAACGAACCCAACCGGAATTCGAACTCTGCTCCTCGATTTTTCTTTCCGAGCCGAAAGATAGATTCAATAATAATGTCCACGCGTTATAGATATCTAAAGTGACATCTGTCATAACTCATCATAAACTTAGACACTTTGTCCTGTTGATTGGTTTAAAAGCATTGACAAAGAAATTGATTTTGTTGAAGAATGATTATTTCTTATGCAAATTACATGATTTTACATGAGTCAGATATCTTATTGAGCGACTTCCCAATATAAGTATGCAAGTGCCTGATCGATTAACCGATTGAAAGTTTGAATCCAGCCTTATCATCATTGATTTGTTAATGTTTGCTAAATTAACGTATGTTGTTGAATCAATATATCATTAGCTATTCACAATCATTAACCGAATTTGATCAATAATTTTCACTGTATAGATTTTGACTCATGTGATTAAATTTCAGTTTTAGCTCTGATTACTAGAATTAGCTATAGTGGTTAAATTTTTAAACCTATGAAGAAATTATGTTCAGTGAAATACGTTCGGATATTAACCTATCAGAATAACTGTTTACGCTATCAATTTTTCTGTTCAGTTATATTCTTCAGATTATTGATATATTCGTGTTGTTAATGAAGTGAGTGTTCCCAAGTGTAACGCAGCAAGCTCTATTTTATCACTCAACTAAGAACATATTTTTCCCGAAAATGATAAATGGTACAGTGAAGAATTGTTTCTTTATTTTCATTCTTCGTGATAACAAAAGGTAAACAAGTATCTCAAGAAAAAAGAACTCTTAACTTTTTAGTGAAACGGAAAATATCTCAGTAGAGAAAACAGTTCAAATTTTGAAGTATATACCATTGATGAGTAAAACATTCATGCCTATATATGCAATGTAATAACAGATTATGGAAAGATTGAAAACGAACTCAGAAGGCGCATGGGAATAGAGAAATAGGCAGTTCAGAAAGTAAGCAAATTATTAAGTGATCGGCAAATGTTATTTGAAACAAAGGAATATGAACGACTATGCAACCACACCGGAATATCTCCTCCGACCTCCGAAAATCCCTGCCCATAATTGGATGTCATTTCTCCCAACCTTCCGTGAATTAAAAAAAGCACACCGTATCATGAAACCTGTAAAAATTACTGGACCCGACAATGTGCCTAGAATTTTTCAGCCACGGTGTCCTAGAAGTGAATATCCAGGTAATGCTTCCGATATATACAATCTGTGAAGAAAAAACACTCTCTGAAGACTCTGTCAACAAAAAAGGAGTCCGCTCACTCGGCGGAAACTATCTTTCATTCCCGTCTAAGCACCACTGGCATGATCTTTGTGCGTATATGATTGAATCAACTCCTCCCCGTACAAGAAGAGATCCTTCCAGAATTCCAGTATGGTTTCCGGCCTTCGAGAGGCACTTTTGTTATGGTCTTCTGTGTGAGAAAGCTTCAGAAGAAGAGTCGAGAGCAGCAAAAATCAGTGATGTTCATCTCCTGGGATCTCCATTAGGCCTTCGACAAAATCTCAAGACTAGCAATGTGGGCCACTATTGTCCACTTAGGATGTCCGGGTCGTTTCCTGCCTCTGATCCGTATTCTCCATGGCGGAATGGGGGGGGTGTTGAACGAAACATCGAGGACCAGTTTCCAATCACCGGTGGCCTTACACAGGTCTGTGTGTCAGCACTGACACTCCCTTCCTGTACCTCGACGCCATGATCACCGGGATCCCATTTAACAGCACTGGCACATCCGATACAGATTCACAGATTCGACGGTGGACATTTCAACCTCACCTGACTTCATTCTCGCATAAAATATACCATCACCCGCGTGCGAGAATTTCAGTATGCTGATAATAATGTAACTACTGACAAGACTGTCAGTAACCTCGAGAGATCGGCAAACCTTTATAACGAGGCCTACAAACTCTTCGCAATGTAGTTCAGTGTAAAAAAAAGACAAAGATCCTCATCCAGCCGGTCCCGGACAAGCAAAAATGAACAGAAGCATGAACATTGACGGCCAGCTAGTGGAATTCGTCGATGAATTTCCCTGTATTAACAGCATGATCTCGAATAGTATCATCTGCGAGAGAGATATTGAAAACAGGAACAATGCTGCTTCATATTGCGTACGGAACGCTTTGGCACTTTGTCTTCAGCACTCACAGCCTCACCATGAAAGCACAAATCATGGTTTTCCGGGTCGTGGTAATCTCCACACTTCTGTAGGGTTTCAAGATATGCACTTTATATTCAACGGAATATCAGACATCGAGAACGGTTCCAGCAAAGAAGGCTGAAGACTCCTTCGCATTAGTTGGGAAGACCACATCACCAAAAATGAGTTCCTCTGTCGGACATCTCTCCCCAGCATTGAGGATACCATCCTACACCATCTCTTACGCAGGGTGGATCACGTGTCCATAATGCATCTCACTCGACTCCTACGTATAATGCTGCTTGGAGAACCAGCTAACGTAGCTTCAAGTATTAGTTGAAGACAAAGGCGAATATTTACCCCGATACCTGGAAAATCGTAGACGAAAATCGGTCTGCCTGGCGTATGACAATCCGAGGGGTAATAATGCTTTTGAGTTCCGCTGTCAACATGTTTTTGGGGTTTTCAGAAAGATTCAGGTCTATGGATTCGAGCTGATAGACCAAAAATACGATTTTTTATGAATAAAATCAAATATTTGAAAGAAATAATGACAAAAAATGCCAAAAGATCAGATTCAGCACGAGCCAGTGCTATAAAAGACTTCTGAAAATAACAGTTCCCTACAAAGTTTCCTATGTTCGGCAAATTATTACAACGTATTTGTGTCAAACATGATTTTTTTGCGAGCTTCGTTAAATGTATTATAGGCTCTAAATGGGTTCGGACGACGGAGTGCCAGGAAGCATTTGAAAATATTAAAGGAATGCTAAAGTTGGACTTGTTTTTGACTCATTACGACTAAAAAAAAAAAAGAAAAGAAAGAAAGAAGCGACACTAGTTCATACGAAATAGGATGTTCCATTATGCATACAGCTTGATTAAATCTATTGCACACTCATTTAGGACGCTTCTTCCAGCCAAAAAGTATTATTCCCTGATAGAAAAGGAGAGTTTAGGGATTTTATTTGCCCTTACGTAACTTCATAGGTTTATCCACGGAAGAAGGTTTACCTTACAAACGGGTCACAAACCATTGCTAGCTATTTATGTTTCCAGCAACAGCCTACCGACCCATACAAATAATAGGTTACAACTATGGTGAACTATCTTCTTGAAATACCATTTCAGAATGGAATTTTTGCCATCAGGTAAATTGAGTCGCGTGGACGGATTGCCCAGTTTTATCGCAATAATTAGTGAACCTTTGGAAGACACGGTCCTTGATTCTCTACAAGCGGAAGTAGAGATAAAAAGAATGTTTTATACAATACTGTGCGGGAACTACTTGTGACTTTTGAAGAAATAAAAAGCTATAGCCTTGGATGAAAATTTAATCGTGGAAATGAAGATAAAAAAACCCCTAAAAGACAGGAGTAAAACAGAATCCAAGCTATCTTCAATTTGCAATGACGTTCGCATATAAAGCGAAAGACTGGTGGTATCTTTATCATTACAGAAACGAATCCGAACAGAATTCCATGCAGGACACCCTTGTATATCCAGAAAGAAAAGCGTGATGAAAATTTATGTGTACTGGCGTAGCATGGATAGAGACATCGAATGTTTAGTAAAGTTATGCAAAGGCTGTGCTTTGGCAGCTAAAGCACCACAAATAAAGTTCAACCTATAGCCAGGAAATGACCTCACATCATGTCTGCATATTGACTTTGCTGGTTCACTTAATGATTCATATCATTTGATCGCTGTGGACAGTTTTTTTCAAGTGGCCAGAGATATTGAGATGTAAGAAACTCAACACGGAATTAGTAATTCGGTTTCTACACGAACTGTTCGCGAGGTTCGGGGTACCAGATTCTATTGTTTCGGATATCGGCATCCAATTTACATCAAAAGAATTCAAGGGATTTTTAAAATATTTGTAGTAAAGCACATAACAATGGCCCCTTACACCCGAGAAGCAACGGCCAAGCAGAGCGTTTTTGGATACTTTTAAGAGGGCCCTAAAAATCCAATGGTGCGCCCATGGATGCAGCATTGCAACAGTTTCTACAAGTGTATCGGCTTACACAAATACAAATGTGCCTTCAGTTATGACTGGCGAGGATATTATGTTTACGCGAAAATAAGATCGGTCTTTGACCAGCTGATACCGAATAAAAAAAATGTAGAACATGCTGTACAATAAACTGGAAATAATTCTTACGAAGTCGGTGAAAATGTTTTTTGCCAAATGGATCAGACAGGGAAAATATATCAGGAAGTTGGAACTATCATCAAAAGAATCGGTAGGATGATATATTTAGTCAAAGGACCGAAAATGGTGCACAAAAGGCACTTGAATCACACAAATGTAGGGCATATAGATGAAGAGAAGGATACACCAGTGGATGTTGAGCGTATGGAAGTTCTTTTCGACACATTTCATGTACCCATTCCTCGAAAAGCTCCTGAGACAAAAATCCAAAAGAGACAAAGAGGAGAGGAAGGGATACAGAGAGAATCGACATTAACCCGAAAAGGAAAAGAATTTGACTCTCTGCAGAGGAAATCTAAAAAGTGTCGGGGGTGTTATATAACGTATCTATGAAATCTAATGCATATGTCGGAATCCTCGTAAATGTTGGACACTGTTGTATGCGGGGGAAAATATGCAGTCTAAATGGTCGACCACTAGCAGTGGTATACCTAATTCACGCTGCTGACGATTATTGTATTTTGTTGATGTTATAAAGATTATTATTTCATTTCCAGCCTCTGTTTTGGTTATTCCTCATTCAGAAAACCTTTCTAGGTTACACCAAAGATCATTTCCATTATGCCTCTACTAGTGCGATAATCATATTGACTCTCTAGTATCACTTCAGAACAGGCGTGACTTTGGAGGCGATTGAGCAAGATTTTCGAAAAAAAAAAGCTTATTCCCCTGTAGTTGCTACAACCTGACTTTTGACCTTCCCCATCATACAGAGACACAAGTATGGCATCAATCCAGACTTGATGGACATGTGTACCATTCTAAATATCTGAAATAAGATGGTGTATTCTTGCCATTTCTTTTCATCCACGTAAGAGCACCTTAACAGGAATTCCATCCAATCGTGACGCCTTCCGAGTATCGACTTCTTGAATCGCCTTCCTTGTCTCCTAGTACGTTGGTTGGCATGCTATTTCATGCTCAACATCAGACTGAGGCAGATTGTTGATTATGTTCAAATCAACGACTGAAAGAGTACACCAAAACCTTCCGCAGAAGAATCATAAAAGTTTCATGGCAGTCTTTTGTACTTGACACAGAATTTTTGGAGAAAACTGACATCCTAAGTATTAAGAATCTAATCATCCTCAATCCAATGCGCTTGTCAGGTCACTTGGTTCGCATGAATAACTCAATGTTGCATAAACATGCCTTTTATGGTGAAATATCTACAGGCAAGCGTCCCTAACGTAAACCTAGAATGCGATTTAAACATTGCTTCAAAACCAATCTCAAAGCTCTTGGAATATTAGTTGCTACTTGGGAACAGGGGAATATCGACGTTCGTGGAGAACTACATTTTCTCAAGGTTGTAACCAGTTTGAAGAGGAGAAGGTGGAACATGCTAAGGTTAAGCGCAATCTTTGTAAAGTTAATCTTGAAGCGATAACTTTCAACACTTAATGTACAACATGTATGTATTTTATGTGGTAATTTTGCTCTCTTAAAGGCAAGTTCTCAAAGTCACCTTAGGTATCCTCAGCCTCGCTCCATTGAAAGAAGCCAGTAATCGATCCTTGTGCCTTTTTGTACATTCCGACAGAATGTATGTAAGCCAGTTTCTGGATTTAAAAGACACTTGAAAATTCCTGTTTCTGGCGTGCCAGTTGCGTTGGTGTTCTCCCTTTCAGGGGCAACATTTACGCAAAAACTTATAAAAGTAAGGCTGGTTTAAAAAGACATCTGTGTTCTCGTGATCGGTGAGTCTGAAAGTTATAAAAAAACAATAAAAAAAGAAAGAAATTTGTTGTGAAGATGGTCTTATTCTGTCAACAAGTGACACTCACCACATCTGTGAAAGTAACATGGACAGTCTTAGCTATAGATAACTGCACTTGAAGACCGAGAGCAGAGGTCATCTGAGAATTTGCCAGCACTATCGCTGCTCTATCGTTATGACAGAGTAGCGATTGCGCCATTGAGTCAAAGAGAAATGGATTAGAGCAAGGAAAATAAGTCACCCCGCTACAAGATAAACTTAACAGAGACCTCTGATCTCTGTTAAGAATAGAAATATAGGATAAAGCAACTCTCTATCTCTATCTCTCTCTCCCTCTCTCTCTCTCTCTGTATATATATATATATATATATATATATATATATATATATATATATATATATAGCATATATATATATATATATATATATACTAGCGCTGACCGTACTTGATTCAAAATCGTACGACTCATACAGCAATCGCTATCACTTGACTTAAAATATTTTTGCCCTTCCTTGCCTTTAAAGGAGTGTCCTTTGCCGTGCTGATGTTGCTACATGCCTTACTTCTTGCCTATTTCACATTGCGAATTTTTTCTAAGCCCTATACTAAACATTAAATCTGTTGCGAAAAAAGAACTAACCAAAATGAACACAAAAAGATCAGCTTTAAAAAAGGACTCGTAACTGGAAAAATCGAATGACAAAAGTATGTTAACAACAAATACTTTTTCACAACCAACCCAGTTCTGTGGAATCAGAATCAACGTTGAGTTTATGCAAGCGAATGAGCAAAATTGGAGTAAAGTGCCATGCAGATTTAAATTTTTCCCACTTGTGACGAATGCAGCTATCGATTTTTTTGCATGCAAGCATGCTAGTTAACATTCGTGTCAGTCAGCTGTTGGCTCTCACGCTGGCTCTCACGCTGTCCAATAGAATATTCCTGCCAATTCGTGGCAGCCAGCTCTAGGATCTCACTCTGGCCAGTACAAAATGGCCGCAGACTACATGAAAACTGCCGTAGAAGCTTGAAAAATCGATTATTTCCACTATCGATGGGAGTTGGGAAATGCAACGTCAGTCTTGGCTTTCCCGCTAATGTGCATGTAAATTTTGGTGCAAATCCGTCGAAAATTGCGGCCGTGCATTCGTTACACATACACACACACACGCACACACGCATCTTGCCTTATATATATATATATATATATATATATATATATATATATATATATATATATATATATATATATTATAAAAGATAAGAACGCTGGCCAGAACACTACCGCAGTTTTGACCTCCGACGTCTCGTCAGGTAGTATGTTTCTAAATTCGTTCAGCGTTTTTTAAAAATATTAAATCGCTCTGTAATTTTGGTTTGGCCTACTTTAATTTGAGCACTTTTTAACATGTACTATTTTACCAAATGTTTCATTGCTTGTTTATTGTGGCAAGCGTGTACACACACACACACACACACACACACACACACACACACATATATATATACACCTTAATAAAGATCAAAATCTTTTACATTGTCTTGTCTGTTGCTATCTACCGAAATCAATCTCTGTATAATACCTTTTTTCTATATTTCTATTAAATAATTATATTTAAATATCCTCTTTTCTTTAAATAACATTAGGTAAAATCAAACAATAAAAATAACTGAAAAACCAAAGAAAGTAATCGAAATTTTCTTTCGGTGCATTGTTTCTCATCATGATGTCATTGCTAATTGCAAATCTCGATGACAGAACGCGGCGTTTGAATCACGATAAGCCGTACAAAGCGTTAAGAATAAACATACAACATAGCTTGATTTTTCGCACAATCTGCTGACACTTTCCAACGTCGCCATTATTCTGAAGCGTGGTGTGAGGTCGCTTCAGTCATATTTGATAGGGTGACGCAATCAGATGCCAAAATAGCTGAGGCTAGGTGTGACCTTCACCCCACACAACGCTTGATCATGATTGGCGTCGAGCAACAGACGATGATGGTGATAGTGTTGGGTGGTGCACAACAATTTTTGTTGAGTGCAGTGTCGATCGGGATTTTTAGAACGTTTGATGTGTGTAATCTGTGGCTGTTCAAAAACAAACGTGTTATCACTGGGAGAGATAAGGAAACAAAACAAGGAGCAGAAATTGTGAAGAAGAAGAAGAAGAAGAAGAAGAAGAAGAAGAAGAAGAAGAAGAAGAAGAAGAAGAAGAGGAATGCATATAATTAATCCAATGAAGAGAAAAGATATTGATGTTTACGAGAAAAGGAGCATAATGAAACGGATATAATTTTGATGACGATGCCGATGAAGAAGATGTAACGCCAATATTGAAGTAGCAATCAGAGTATAATAACAAAGAAAATTATAAATAATATACGGATAATGACAGAGCAAGAAAATCATGACTTATGGAGAAGTTATATCACAGAAAATCGAAAGAAATACATAGAAATAATAATAAGAGTAAATGTATTGCATGTTTTCCATCTTAAAACAGTAGTTTTTAACATAAATTTAGAACATGACCAAAATTTTACAAAAGTTGGTAGAAACGGTGATCTATGCACAAACCAGTAGCTATTACAAACAGTTAAATTTACTTTGTAAATATAATACACTTAACAATTTACAAGAGCTACTGACATGCTTGTAGGTACATCTAAATATTTTATGCATTGGACCACAGTTTCTTCATCATAATTATTATTAAACCCAGGTTGTGTGTGTGTGTCTTTTCGTTTATATATTGGATCGGATTTCCTACACTTTTCAACCGATTTCAACAAAACTTCACAGGACTACTTGTGGTGCTTCTGACAGCGCAAAAAAGTAGAAGAAACGCAATTATTTTTGCACGAAATCAATTTGAAAACACGATTAAGAGGTATCGCTATCGCGAGAATGAAAGGGGAACAACTCATATCGAGTTATACTTATTATAAAACCCAGGTTGTTTGTGTGCGTGTGTGTTCGTTTATATATGGGATCGAATTTCCTACATTTTTCAACCGATTTCAACAAAACTTCACTTTTTTTGGCAGGTAGTATTTCTTATTGTCTTGCACACTTTTTTCTTTATTTTTACATTCAGAATGCTTTAAAAATTCCATTTACATGACAATCGTTTATAATAAAATTCTATTCAATCAGTAGACTCATAACGATTGAAAACAATGTTTTTGTTTGAGTTTGGGTTTGACCAATTCGTAAAAGAAAAACAAAAAACGAAAAAAAAAAACAAAAAAACAAAACAAAAAACTAATTAAGACATGTGTGTCCGTCAACCTTAAACAATAATCTTTGTCAATTTTATTTTTCAGTCTTTACGATGGTCGATACTTGATCTATCTCTTACTGTTACATCCCGGGCAACACAGGGCTCTACTGCTAGTTTGTATCTATACGTTTGGTCACGCTTTAAGTTATACTATATATACCTCTTTTCAAGTCGGTACGGATTCAGTGTAATACACCACTTCCATTAAAAATTATCACGAACCACAAACCTCATGACAATACTACACAGATATTGTGTCGTAAGTGCAGAGAGTTTAATTATTGAAAGGCGAAATTAACAACAGATTGTAGATCATTAGTCTGAATGTAACGAATGTAAACACTGAGCCCAGTCTTTTAATTGTAGACAAATATTAACCAAAATACATATAATCGCTGTTCCAACCGGCAAAATAAAACAGAGAAAATAAAAGGGAAATTATAAATGATATCAAATGCCGATAACGCTGACAAAAGATCATAAAAGAGAAAAGGTTTCACTCAAATGAATTACTGTATGTAAACTAAAAACACTGTCATTTAAAATGACGTGTTACATTTTCAGTATAAAAAATATATAGAATTCTTGGGTTTAACCTGTATTTGTACCCATAAAATCACTGATGGAAACCTAGAAGAAAAGGCATGTTTACAAATGAACAATCCAGAGAGTTGCTTCAACATGACCGCGTTATGTCACTAGTCACGTAACATATTAGGTTCGTAAGGTATATTTTTGACTGACACGAATATCAAATTGAAATATATGAACAGTGTCAAAATTAGATACAAATGACAAAATGAAAATGTAAACTCGATGTGGAACACATTAAGAGACGATTTAATAACATCAGCCCTTCCTGGGTAAGACGTTAAACTACGTCCGCGTCCTGGGTAAGACAGACTACGTCCAGCAGCAAGGCCTGTGATCAGGAGGTTTTGAGGAGCATCGAACCACCTCTTAATTGCTGGTGTTCCCAGGTCCACCGTAACCAAGGGTGGTAGCACCTGTTAGGGTCCCAAGTATGGGGAAATAGTTAACTATGATCAACAATACTTTTTTTGAAAAACATTATTACCAGCAATACAATTTTGAAGGAAATATATTACTAGAAATTGATTTTTGACAAAACAAAATATTACCAGCAATAAAAACAAAATTTTCATCAGTAAATAACCCATTGAAGTTGATATGCCATTAAACAAAATAAATCAAATCAATCAAACCAATCTAAACCAAAGAATACATAATCCATTCATACGAATTTATCCTAAAAATGTTGTCGACATTAAATAACCCATTGAGTTTGATATGCCATAAAACAAAATAAACCAAACCAATCAAGACCAAAGAATAGATTCTCTATTCATACGAATCTATCATAAAAAATGTTGTCGGCATTAAATAACCCATTGAGGTTGATAAGCCGTAAAACAAAATAAACCAAACCAATCTAAACCAAAGAATACACACTCTATTCATATGAATCTATCCTAAAATCTTGTCCGCATTAAATAACACATTGGGTTTGATATGCCGTAAAACAAAATTTTACCAAACCAATCTAAACCAAAGAATACATACTCTATTCACACGAATCTATCCTAAAAATGTTGTCGGCATTAAATAACCCATTGAGAGTTGATATGCCGTTAAACAAAATAAGCCAAACCTAATAACATCAGCAGTTGATGTCATCACAAATAAACAATGACAAAGAAAAAGAAAATGGATTACAGATTAAACTCTCCACATGGTGAAAAAGTGAAAACAAAAACAGTGCCAAGATACAGCAGACAATATAGGACTCTGCACAAAAATATAAGAACAAATACAAGAAGGCGAAAAAGGAATGTCTCAACGAAAATATGTGCAGAAATAGAAAGAATCAGTATCGTAAATAAAACAGACATGCATAAAAAAAAATAAGACAAATGACCGGACAAGACATAGTCATCAACAGAATGCATAATACCCAAAGGCAGAAGATTGGTATTAGAGAAAGAAGCAATAATTTTGAATGTGAACAAATATATTGAGGAACTCTTTTACGATGAAAGAGAACTGACAATTCATAGAAATAATGAAGGACCAGAAATATTGAAATCTGGAAACAGCAATGTCTAAATTGGACAGGAACAAAGCAACTGGATAAAAAAGGAATCCTAACAGAGATGCTAACAATCTTAGACGATTTTGGTATTGACAATATTACAGACATAATAATTGACATATACAACAATGATGATATACCGGAAGACGTAATGCATATTCAAAGTACTGTCTAAGAAGCCAGGTTCAAACGAATGTGAATAATATCAGCCTAATAAGTCATGTAACAAAATTTATCGATCCAATTCTTGATGAAGCAGCAGAATCAGACCAATAAATAAATAAATAAATAAAAGAGAAAAACAGTGCGGGTTCATTAAAGATACTGGGACAAGTAATGCAATATTTATTATCAGAATTATATCAGAAAGAACAATACAAATGCAAAAGGATGCTTCATAGATGATGTAAAAGCGTTTCATAAAGTACGTCACAAAAACTGATGGAATTGCTCCGTAACCTTGACAAACTGTGACAAGGATATTAAAATAAATCAGAACCTATATAGGATGCAAATCACCGGAATACGGTTAGAAAAAAAAAAAAAAGTAAATATACAATTATAAAAGTGGGTGGAAGACAAGAATGCATCTTCTCGCCAGACATTTTCAATTTATACAGCGAGGCCATTCACAGAGAATCGTAACAACATATTTTTTATGCTAATTATTTAATGCGAAAATTTGTTGATGTCGGCAAAAACCGTTAACTCTTGTCTATAGTTTAATAAATTTTCATTATTAAGTTTCTAAATAATGAAAATTTATTAAACCATAGATATGAGTTAACGGTTTTTTGCCGACATAAAAAAATTTTCGCATTAAATAATTAGCATAAAATATAAATTAAATTTCATTGTCTAATAAAAGGTTTAAAAGCTTAACACAATCATAAGATAGAAAAATCCTTTATGAAGTCCTCAAAAATACAAATTGAAGTTCAGTGCGACGCGTTTATGTACGAAACGGCCCTTTAGGAAAAAAATCAATAAATAAATAATGAATAAAATAAAATTCTTTTGATACTTCATGACGTAGTATGGTGCAAACAGCTATCTTTCGCTGTGACTGACCAGACGATGTGTGTACATGAATGCCATCATTCGCTTTGAAATGGATACCCCGACCCTACCACGGCTTGACCTTTTTCCGAAGGTGACTGATATGTGGATAAAAATTAATTCTTATGCCCCTTATCAAGATGGTCGCTCTAGCTGTTTCCATAGTAAATAATTTTGCGAATGAACATGTTTATAATGATGCGTAAATTTTAAGATTGGTTATTCCTAAATTTTCGCTTGAGGATGAAAGAGGGCTTGATTCTCTAATCCAATTTAATTTTAATAATTATATTTAGGTTTTCGGCTGTTGTTTTTGAAACATGAGAACACTTATGTAGCAAAGGAATCATATTTTTTTAAATAATTATAATATATATATATATATATATATATATATATATATATATATATACAATATGATAATATAGTGATCAGTATGGATATTTCCAAAAGAATATAAATCCAGGGAAAGCCCTATATCAGTGACAGAGCAATAAGTATTATAAAAGGCAGGAACATTTAAAATTTCATGCGGTTATATTTATTCCGTCTCAAAAAATACCCCAATTGACCAGACCTTCAAATCCAAAAGGAAACTGAAAATATCATATATATATATATATATATATATATATTATTTATATATTATATGCGCGGTACGTACTTATTAGAAAGCGATAAGTATCAGAGATAGAGCTAACATATTTGGTTGGATTGATGTGAGTTTGTGACCCTGGGTTTCACGCTTTTGCGATTGTCAAAATCGTGAAACCCAGGGTCCCAAACATCAATCAATCCAACATATATATATATATATATATATATATATATATATATATATATATATATGCTTAGCATAGAACTTATAGATTGTTTAAAGCAGACAGAACCGCGTATTTTTCCCTCTTAAAGTAAACATTTTTCGGTCAACACCTCACCAGTATTATCGGTGGCGTCCCGTACAATGTAACAAGACTCACGGAATAATAGATATAGTGCGGGAGACAAGGAACTACGATTAAAATACATTTCCATACTAAAAAAAGCGAGGAAATGAAGAGAATGGAAAAAAAAAAAACTGAATGGACTGTTACAGTGAGTTTAAAAGGGGATATATAGACGCACCACATAAAGTAAGAGAACGAATAAATTTCTCCTTGTTAGTACAAAGAATATTTTTATATCTTGCTTCTAAGCTGTGCAGATGCTTAGCCGACCGTGCTTTGTCCAAAATGGAAAACCACGATCACCATATTCATACCCACACTATAGATTATCTAAGAGAGTTTTTTTTTTTGTTGTTTTTTTGTTTTTTCTGGAGGACCTTATACCTGGCACAAAAAATCAGCACCATGCCACAGAAGAGGAACTTAGTCATGGCTGTCAGACAATTTCTACGATCACATTACTCTTACATCTGGCCACCTAACTCCACAAACTGCAACCCCCTTGTGCCTGTGGGGCCCATTTGAATGAAAGACCAACAAAAATTCTTGTAATACCAAAGATGAAGTGAAGGCAAGGATTATAGCAATATTCACAAACTTAAAGAAGACCGTCCAGAAGAGATGCAGGAGATTCTGAAGACGTCTCAAGGCCGTGGTTGAAGCTAATGGTGATTTACCCTTTAGTATATCCAGATATTTTTGCGTAATTTTGGTAAATATATCTGTTGAAATGTCAGTGTTATTTACATTTTCGCGGCATTTAGACGACAATTTATCCATCGTACCCTATATATAAAATGGAGCCGGTTTTCTTGTTTTTTTTGCTATCGCTCAATGGATCTATAAGCAATATATGCAATACTTCCTTCTTTAGAACAGAAGGATCGGAAAAACAAAAAGCGATAATGAATTTGTGAAAGAATCTTGGAAGATATGACTGAAAAAAAGTTAAAGGTGTAAAAATATAAAATTGGCGGACCAATCTGGTAACAAATGCATGGAAATCGAAAACTACATTCGTCAATAAAAGCAAATTACTTTAAAAGAAAGAAGGGAAGGAAATGAAAATAGAGCAAACAGTTGATTTTTTTTTGTTTTTTTTTAAGTACAATTCAATGTTTACTTACCTCAAATTTTTTATATGCACGGAGAAATTTTACTCGACTCGTCAGCCATTTTATTCGGTCTATCAACTTTTTATGATAAAATGTAAAAGATTAAATGGTTGAAAAGTTAACGGGGTCGAAAAAAAATCCATCAGAAAAATAAATGGAAATGATCAGAGCCTTCTTTTTTTTTCTAATTTTCTAATATCTGATTTTTTTTCTTTTTTATGGATGGATTTATATCTATTTCCTAAAACCTTCACCATACTTCGCAATTTACTGAAATAACAAATGAAGACATGTGCATATGTTGGTATGAGTGTACCTTTATTATGACGCGTGTTCTATGTAAAATCCGTATATAGGAACATGTCCTTATTGACTTCAATGTTTTCAATTAATAGTTATTTTTTCTGGTTCAACTAAACAAATTTATTGATTTAAAGTGTTTATAAATGGTGGGTATCTCCTGTTGATCTGCACAAGATTTTGGAGTACCGTTGATTTTGTGCATTTTTGGTGCCCAAACTTGCAAGCACTGCAGACGTGGATTCGTGGGCCACCGAAAACATATCTATTGAGAATTGATGATAAAGCTCATTAAACGACACTACAAGTTCATTGCCTAGCATTATTTTTAAATTTTTCTTCATACTAAGTTCTTTCAGTCTAATAAAAGGTTTAAAAGCTTAACCCAATCATAAGTTACTAAGTTCTCTCCACAACTACCTGTACCTATTCTGTTATCCATTCACAGGATGGTCCGGTGCCGTTGCTATTTACCTTGAGCTACTTGATGAGATCGACAGAAGAATCTGAAATAGTATTGGTCCTGATTTGGTGGCTCAGCTTCAGTCATTTTCCTACCACTCTAAGGTTGCCTTCCTATGTCTTTTCTAGAAATACTTTCATAACAATTGTTCGAATGATCTCTTCGCTAGAGTTTTTTAAATCTGGAGTTCTTTTTTTTTAATTTAAGCGCAGCGCTAGACTGGCGTCGAGATAACATCAGTTTACAGTAGAGTTCGATACATGTAGCCGTAAATTCTATGCTAACAGTTTCTTCTGTCGCACTTCTCGCTTGTGGAACGCACTTCCGACTACATGTTTTCCAGCCAACTTTAATCTGCAAAAATTTAAATGCAATGTCACCTGATTACCCTCTTCTCTTTCTGCTCATCATTAATATTTTTGTTTCTATTTCTAACACACCGGAACCCATTTTGTTTTAATGGTATTACTTTCTTGCTTGGGTGATTCCGATTTAAAAAAATAAAATTCTCAGGTACTGTTTATTCCCACTGTAGGTTACGGATAAGTAAATTGTCTATCCCAAATAGTAAAAGCAGCATCCACTACCAAGTATTCCTAGAAATAGGGCTCAATATAAACATTACTAAAACAGAAACTGTGATCTAGAATTGGAATGAAAGCAAAGATGGCACTGATATCGAGAACTCATCATAAACCTTTAGAAAGTGGAATTAGTAAATACTAAACACTTCATATATATTAGTTTATAGATCAGTAATAGGAAATTTAATATCGGAGATAAGGAATATAGATTGTGATAATATTTCTAATTACAGATTGTAATAAGATTTCTTTATCGTTATAGAGGATGATAGCATTTCTATGTTTTTATAAGCAATAATATGATTTTTGTTTTATAGACAGCAATATGATTACTATATTGTTATAAACAGCGATGTATTTTCTGTGTTTTATAGAGAGTAATAGGATTTCTATATTGTTATAACAGCAATAGTATTTCTGTATTATTATAGAGTGATGTTGTCTATATTGTTATAGATAAGGATAGGATTTCTATAGCGCACAAAACCGCTTTATCCTTATGTTCATATGTGAATGAAATCCATGGAACTTTCGCATTTTAAAGCTTTCACGGAACGTCTTGATTTTTTTTTTATTATTAAAACGCAGGGAGGAGATAAAACTACACCCCTATATTATTTTTCCAGATCCTTCCCCCACCCAAATAAATAAATAAAAATAAAATAATAATAAAAAAATTACAAAATCTGTATTACTTACGGAAATCCGTGAACAATTGGATGGAAGTTATTGAATAAATTCTAATTAAACATTACTGATTGAATTTCGATATATTTTTTCATTTTTTTTTCGATTCTCCTAACAATGATAGTGCATATTTTAAATTGTATAACATAAGGGCCAAAAGTTATAAATTTATCATTTTCACATGCATCCTTTCTCAGTTACGCTTTCTCTCTGTATTTCTCCATAATACCCAGAGGATATCATATATAATTTTGTCAGACGTCTTTTAGATACTGAATGTATGGCCACTTCACGTTGCGGAAAAGTTGGAAATGTTGACAGGCAAAGACGGAACAAAATAGGACGACGTGAAGAGGAGTTGGCCAACCACGAGCCTGTCATGTTTGCTTCTCCTTCCTTTTTACTCTAACTAATGACAACCTGAAGAACCCCGGATGTTAAAATATCCCTAAGGACAGGCGTTAGCGACGACCAACATCAATTAGAAGCGATAGGCTGATGAGAAGATAAAATCAACACCTCTTCTGGCGTATTCAGTGGCTAATTCAAGTGCACAGAAAGAGGAACATTATTCCTGGGGCTTTTTTCGGGATGGGTTGAATGAAGCAGAGTCAAATGAATCAGGGTGTGATTTTGCGGTTTTTAATGGAAATGACAATGTAAAAGAAGAGAGAAAAAGAAGAAGACAAAGAAGTTGAGGATGAAGAAAATAAAGAAGAGGAAAAAGCGACGTAGACGAAGTAGAAGTGAGAGATTATAGGATAAAAAATAGAGGAAGAAACAAATAAACAAAGAAATGAGTGAAAGAAAGAAGGATGAAGACAAAGAAGAGGGTGAGGTTAAGACAGGGAAGATAAAGAAGGAAAAATAAACTGTTTTTTTGAGGCAGCAGATGAAAAGTCGAAATGTATAAGAAATAGAGAAGAAAAATAATTGGAATGTGTCAGTGGAAATTAATTGAAAGGGTCAGGAATAGAATAGAAGGATAGAAGAATAAATGATGATGAATACAGAAGTAGATTTTAAATAGAAGAATAAATTAAAGAAGAAGGCAGAGGAGAAGAGAAGGATGAGTCGAAGTTAAACGAAAAAGGAGTACGAAGATAAATAAGGAGGTAGAAGAAACGTAGAAGGAGTAGAAAAAAAAAGAAGGATGACGAGGAGAAAGAAAATGAAGAAGGAGGTGGAAGATAAAGAAGAAGGTGTAGGAGGAGGAGTAAAAAGGATTAGGATCAGGAGAGAAGATGGAGGAGGAAATAAAAGAAGAGGGAAGCGGATGAAGTAGGAAAAGAGAAGAAGTAGTAGAGATAAATAGAAGAAAAAGAAAAAGAAGGCAGAGATGAAGAAAAGGGGCGAGGAGGATGAGAAGAGAAGAAGTAGGATGAGGGGCAAAAAGAAAAAGAAGATGAATAAAGAGGACAAAGAAGAATAAGGAGGAGGAAGTGGAGGAGGAAGACGTAGATTGGGAGGAAAGATAAAGAGGGCGGAACTGAAGAGAAGGATGACCAGGATAAAGAAAATGAAGAAGGGGGAGGAAGATAAAAAAATGATGTAGGAGGAGTAAAAGGAGTATAATCAGTGGAGATGGAAGAAGAAGAAGAAGAAGAAGAAGAAGAAGAAGAAGAAGAAGAAGAAGAAGAAGAAGAAGAAGAAGAAATAATAACATTTCAGAGTTCAAGCGGAAATGTTAGGAGTAGAGATTTGAAGTAGACTATAGAAGAAACTAGAAACTCGCCTTTAAAAAAGACACAAGGGATAAACCACTAATCCTGTTCGAAAAACCGGTAAGGAGTCTGAACTGAACAATAGGCAAACTTATCTATTCTTATCGGGTGAGGAAAAATAGCAATAATTACTAAATAAAATTTCAGATTTCCGACGCATGCTTTAGAAGCTCAGAGTTGGAGGAACCGGAAGGAGTATAGATTTAAAATAGACAATAGAAGGAACCGGAAACAAAATACTTAAAAGGAAACGATGGAAGAAAACTCTATTACTGTTCCAAAAATCGGGGAGGAGTCATTGTGTTAGACTAAGTTTCAAGTACAGATTTCTTTAAGAAAATAATTTATCTACCGGTTTGGTCAATACGCTACGTATATATATATATATATATATATATATATATATATATATATATATATATATTGGGTGTAACAGCAAAATTGTCCAAATCGTGTAAGAACAAATTTGTACAATTGTTAGATTATGATTTGAGCCGTTGTATCTTAGAAATGATTAATAATATCTTACTGGAATTCCCCGAGGTTTTTTTTTATAAAACTATTGGAATCTACTTTGGATAATAAGAATCTATTTAGCTTTAAGTTTCAAAGATGATCCCACTTGCCGGTTTTATCTTCTGATACATTTTTCCTCTATAATCTTCCCTCTTTTTTAAACTTATACTCCGTTCTTTTTATGGTTCTTGAATGGGCTTCATTGTCAAAGTAGGACTGTTGATACCATTAATGAAACACTGAATGATTTTTTTTTGTTTTCTCATCACTCCTTTGGGGATCCATAGTGAGTTTGACGCACAAGGATTAACTGAAAGTTTTTTTTCAATGATTCTTACGACAATTGATGACAAGAGGGCTAAACGTCTTATCTGAAAACCTGTGGAAAAGAAATTCATTTAGTTCTGTGTTTTTTAGATATTAAAAATATTTTGGATGATCAATTATCGCATGGTGTTACACGACTTGTAAAATCAGTTACTACACCTGGTATAGCGTTTCCCCTAGCGAGGGGTCCTTGATCGGTTTGAACCTTTTAAAACCCTTTATTCCACATTCAACACTATCACTTGATAAGACACCAGAAGAGTTGAAACAAAATGGCTATTTTTGTAGTGATTTTATAACATATTTTTGGTATAAATTTCGAATAATATATATATATATATATATATATATATATATATATAAAAAAAAAAAGACGAAAGGAAAATAATATCCGTCAGAGGATGAAACGCGTCGGCTACGATAAGTAGTTTTTCTTTTGTCATATTTAATATTGTATTTTTACAGACATTCTCTATCTGAATTTTATACATACAGTTTAACTAAGAATGAGATTTGCATAACGCAGTGAACATGTTATCACGGTAAACTTCGGTACACTTTTAATCAAGTGCTCTGTAATATCAGACCAGGCTGACAAAACATACTTAAGTTAACCAATTCTAATAAACGTCTGTGCACCGACAAAGAAACTTTGTTTTCCCGCCTATATAGTCAGCTTGGCACTGAAAATTAACTACATATTTCAAATATGCGTCTGTTATATGCCACTTATAAATTTTGCACTGCAAAGAAAACATATGTATATTATGAGCACTAATGAAAAAATGAAATTTTGTGTGTGTGTGTGAGGCGTTTCGTCCTTTAGCTAATACATCATAGTAAATTTAATTTCAAATTAAATGTATAATTTTAAAATGTCGCCCCTCCCCACACATTGTGTGCATAAGTCGTTACAACAATGTAAATAGCACTAGGTGGCTTAGATGACGCATCATTGTTCTCGAATATAAAGATACATATATCATTTACTATATATATATATATATATATATATATATATATATATATATATATATATATATATATATATATATATATATATATATATATATATATATATATATATCGGAAAAGAACGCTGCTATTGAATTATAAAAAATCCTTGGTGGGTGGAGGTCACTAATTGAATAAATATCTAGCCATATTTCCCGCTATTAAGGGGTGGTGGGTTTTTTGAGGACTCCCCGTCATTTACTGCTTCTTTTTCTTTGTTTCAAGAATCTGTTCTGTTTAATTATTTACAAAAATATTTTCTTCACAATGTGTGTATTTGTAGACAATGGGGTTTATATCGACGGGATTCCATATCTGTGAGTTTTGCTTTGGAAAATACGACACGTATTGTTATTTTAAGCAACGCATGAAATCAAAAGCTATACCCCCCCCCCCCACTCTTCGGTTATATTTTTTTCTTTTTCTTTTCCCTTACCCTCAGTCTATGTTTGGGTGTGTTTACATGAGTTGTTAAAAAATAACCGTAACAAATTGATTCAAAGAAATTTTAAATATTTAAAATATTGTTTATTTAAAGAAAGCTGAAACATAAATAAGCAAACACGCAATCACAGAGTTGGAAAGAGAGTGGGGTAAAGAGAGAGGTGGAAGGAGAGAGGTGGAAAGAGAGAGGTGGAAAGAAAAACGGTGGAAATAAAGAGACGAAAAGAAAGATGTGGAAAGAGAGAGGTGGAAAGAAAAACGGTGGAAATAAAGAGACGAAAAGAAAGATGTGGAAAGAGAGAGGGGAAAACAGAGTGGTAGAAAGAGACAGGTGGGAAGAAACTTAAAATATTATGCACCCGACGGCCGACGTACGCACGATTCACAGATTTTTAGTATTAGATAGATAGATAGATAGATATATAGATAGATAGATAGATAGATAAGATGAAAAAAGCGAAACAAAGAGGAATGCATTTGTGATGGTAGTGGTGATGATGGTAGTGGTAGTGGTGATTGCGGTGATGGTGACTTCTCCGTTATTTCTGAATGTTCTTTTATTTATTTATTAGTAATTTATATACAATTTTTATTTTATAATGCCATACAATGCAAACACTTATAATAAGCCTTTATTTAAATATTATTAGTAACTACATATTAATTGTTTTTATATGTAGAATATATTCGTATAATAACAGATTTAGTGAGATTTGAATATAGTTTCATATTATTGAACATAAGATTAATTCAATAAAAAAATTCTAAGAACTAAGTTCTAGGTTGAGATGTCAAAATCAACTAGTACTTAAGTTGAAATGACTGACAAGCGATATTAGGAGGAGATGGAAAATGTGACATTGAAATAAAAAAGTTCATTGGAATAACGAAATATACCACACAAAAACGAAACGAAATATCTCACAGGAAAACGAAACGAAATATACCACACAAAAACGAAACGAAATATGGCACAGGAAAACGAAACGAAATATACCACACACAAACTAAACCATATATTAAGAAACATGTAAATTTCGTTATAAGCAAAGGAAAAAACTGCTGAATTGTGATGCCATTTCAATGCTCTTATTTGTCAGTGAAAGGTTGAAAATCTTGTCACGAATATAGAAGAGACTTGAAGTAAAAGAGATTTTCTCATACAGAAGATTAAAGAGGATACTATGGAGTAATATGTAAATAATGAGGAAAATAGAAACAAAAAGAAAATCTATTTAGAATAAGATAGATAATTTTCAAATTCATAGAACAATGAGAAAAGGGAGCTTAGAGAATTTGACACGCACAAGAGGCAAGAGGAACAAATCAGAAACAGGTAGCTAACTACCTCAGAAACTTTGTATAAATGGATTGGACAATATTAATAAGATAAAACATGCTAAGGACTACAAATTATAGGAAGTTAGGGAAAGTGACGATCGCCATATTGAAGCAGAAATGTTTGGTTAATAATTTATTTTTCTGGCCAAACGCTAAAATCTGTTTGACGTATGGAGGAAGTAAGGACCCTATACGTTCATTTCTGTATAGAGAATCAATCTTTTAAAATGGTGTATAATATGGAATATTTACTATTGAGTTTGTTGATCACCAAGCATTTTAGCAATATTGCATATAGAAACATTCAGTTGATTTCCATATATAGTTAGTTACAAATTCTTGTTATTCTTGTCAGCAGATCCTCAATGTTTTTATAAATAATAATCATGTATTTTTCAATAATAATAATAATAATAATAATAATAATAATTATTATTATTATTATTATTATTATTATATTTATTATTATTATTATCATAATGATAATATGTATATATACATCTATATGTGTGTATGTGCATATATGTGTATATTGATTAGTATAAAGCAGCAAATTAAAGTTCAAATCTATAATATATTAATATTTGTGTCATGTTACTAAGTTATATTATTTGTTGATACACCTAATATATAATCGGTACCTATTAATTTTATTAATTTTTGAACTTTTTTTTTATTTGATTCGGAAGAACATTGGTGAGTTTAGCTTCGTATTACTGACTAGATGAGCCGAGACCCGTTCGGTCACTGACGTTTCAAATTATAAAACATTGAAGCTGATTTCAACATAAGATACTATCTGATTGAAGAAGAGTGAACTAAAAATATTTACTGTATAAACAACTCGTATCTTATTCACTTACATTTTTTAAGTCAGATTAACTTAATATATATATATATATATATATATATATATATATATATATATATATATATATCCCAATTCTTTTTAATCATATTCACTTGAAAATATATATATTTTTAAATATGGCAATATATATATATGTGTGTGTGTGTGTCTGTGTGTGTGTATGTATGCATGTATGCAGGCATGTATGTATGTATGTATAATCAATATTTAAAATATTGTTCATTTAAAGAAAGATAAAATATAAGTATTTACGCAATCACCGAGAGATGGAAAGAGAGATGTGGAAAGTGAGATGTGAAAAATAAGCTTAAATCATTGTGCGCCCAACGGTCGACGTACGCACAATACACAGACATTTAGCATTAGATAGATAGATAGATAGATAGATAGATAGATAGATAGATGAAAGAGAAAAAAAGAGGAATGCAT